ATAAAGACTATGGACCTTCTCTTCTAGGCGTTTGGAACTGGCCGGTCAGCTGAGGCAGTGGCACCTGAAAGTTATAGAGATAGTGAAGCGGGGACAGCATCGCAAGTCCCTGGATAAACTGTTTCAAGGCTTTAAACCTGCTGTGGAGTCCTGCTATTTCAACTGGGAGGTGGCCTACCCATTGGATGGCATTACCTACTGCAGTGCAGATAAGAAGAGTGCCACGTTCTGCTGGTCCAGGGCAATGCTGCACCAGAGAGGAATGAAGTCGCCTGCAGGAGGTGGTGTTGACTCCTCTGAATCAGGGGCCAGAGCTGAAGGTGGACCGGCAGGAGAGTATAAAGGCAGGGCAAGTAGTAACTCCACACAACAGGAGGTAGCAGTGCGACCTAAGGAGACCATTCTGACCAAGAGGAAGGGTCTGTCAGTGAGTGGAGGTGGAGGGATGCTTGTTCGACTGGGAGGGAGTGTCTCACTATCCCTGGAAGATGGAGGAGGAAAGTGCATGTACAAAGGCCCGGGTTCCTCCTCTGGAGGAAAGTTGAAACTGACTCAGGGAGGTGGGAAGGGGACGACTGGAGGAGGACCTGGCGGTGGTGGAGGATTAGGAAGTAGTAAGCATACAAGTGCCAAACGCAGAACTAGTAGTGAAGATAGCTCCTTGGAGCCAGACTTGGCTGAGCTCAGTCTGGATGACGGCTGCAATCTGGCTTTGGGGGCTGAGGCTAGCAACACTTTCGAGTTTCTCCCACCACCACCAGAGATGTTGCCCTCTCCGAGTCCACTGCTCCGAGATTCACGGAAGTGCAACAGTGGAGGGAGCAAGATTTTTGAAACCAAGCACAGCAGCCGTGACTCTGCAGCAGTTGCTGCTGCAGAGCCTGCTCCACCTTGTTTCCCTTTGAAAGAGAATGGAGTGATAGTTGTGGGCGTGCCCAGCACAGCGGAAAAGGAAGCCGAGGTGGAGCCAGCACTTAACAGAGATGAAGATGTAGATTCAGCTGGTAGTAACCAGCCTTTAATTTCAGCAGCTACAGTGAATTCAGGCACCCCTCAAACATCTGCTAAGCCAGTGCTAGGCTGCAAAGAG